CACACACACACACACACACACACACACACACACACACACGCTACATTCTGGTGTATTGTACCTGTGAGGACAATAACCATATTAAAGTGTAACAATGCAACAATATTTGCTCTCAGTTTGATCTCCATGTATTTCCACAATTAAATACTTAGGACAGTGTAGCCAAAAACCGTTATGATGTCAGGAGTATGGTTTTATTTGAGACAGAGCTCGCAGTGTCACAAAAGAAAATATGCGTTAATTATTCAATGCAATCAAGTGATTTCAATGTGTTTGCAGTCAGCATCTACTTTTCTGTGAGCAGTCACGTATTTGTACAAGCACCAAAAGGTTTTAGCGTGGGCTAACGTGCCATATTTAATTTGCTATTAAGGGGGGGGATTTTTTTTCTGTGAAGCCATTGCTAGGTGAGTGCTGAGCCAGTATGTCTCTTACTTTATTTACTTTTGAGGCAATTTCCCAGAAGACCTTAAACATTCATGTAAACATAAACCATCTATAGAGTGCATATTCCCATGTTAAGATATAGAAGGTAATTCCTGTTGAGGACAGCCCTGGGGTTTTGGTTGGGCAGGTAATTTAACATACATTTTATCTTGCTTTTTCCCCCTCAAGTGTAATGCAGAAGTTATGCATATAATATATGGGTCTTGTGAGCAAGACGAAAAAAAAAAAATTGCTGCCATATCTCTTCTACAACTAGAAACTAAATAAAGTGCATAGCCTCACCAAGGCCCAACAGCTCCTTGCCAGAGGTAATTATGTATTAATCCAAATAGCTAACAAGCTATTTTTTTTAAGGTTTTGAAATCTGATAATTGGAATCATGCAAATGAGTGAGACACAGCTTTTAACTTGTACACAATCATACACATAAAAGTGCTAGTGCTAAACGGTGAGGTTGACACTTTGGGATGGGTGTGATGAAGACGACATTACTCTCTCTTTCTGCTGTGACCTGATGGTGGCCTCCTTCTCTTGCTCCCTCTTTGACCTCGCTTCTTCCTCTGCTTGCTGTCTATCAGCTATAGCTGCCTCCAGCTTCGCCACCTCTTCCTGCTGGGCCCGCCACCGCTGCAGCTACAAATACACACACACAAATACACATCAGGGAGAAAACAAAATGCAGTTGTACATTCAATAGTACATGAACGGCTGTCTTGAAAGAATCTCTCACTGGGGGACAACCAGCTGAGCCCCAGTGCCATGGTGCAAAGATGTGGCATGAACTTTTAGAGGTGTCACAGCTGCCTGTCACACTGTGTGTTAGATCACCTCAGGACCTGTTAGAGCATTGAATCATAATGAAATTCTGTGTGTCAGCCCTGTAACACACAGAACTCGTTTTTGTGAGGAGAATGTTGTCCTTATGCATCAGCTTGAAAATCCCAAGAGTTGAGAAAAACGGACAGATTTTCACCTTCATTCCCATCCAGCCTTTACTCTGAAAACAATCCGAGCATTAGTTTAGTTTAAATGTCCTCAGCGAAGAAGTACAGTATCTCCAAAATATCAGCTTATAATGAAGAAAAGCAAATGGATGGCTTTGTTTTTACAGTAATCATACAGAGACAAATATTAACCAGCCGCAAGAGTGTTGAATGTGTATCATCACAACGGAAAGTCAGTCCTGAGACACCCTTTTACAGCAGGAACCACCAAAGGGACAGTTCAGAGCAGCTGTTTATGGGGTTGTGGACAGACTTTGTAGCTAGATTCAAGATCCCCTTGAATTATCCTGAAGCAACACAAGATTGTATAACAATACTCATAAAAAACAAAAGCTACATAAATGGATGAATAAATAATAATAAGTAATAAAAATGACTTTCATGATGGAGTGTGGAGAAGAAGTTTCTTTTCCCAGCCTGGGATTCCTAAGTCTGGTGATACTGCAGCTAATATTTCTAAATATGTATTTTCTCAAGTTACAAACTATACAGGTGGGGAACTGAAATCAAAATGAAGGCAAAGCGGGTGTGGTCTGACTCATGAATACTCATACGTGTTATAACGTACTATTGTAACAATGCAGTATTGACCAATGAGCATCAGTGGTATGACCTTCACAAGGTCTCTACAACTGTTCTAAAATTATGTTCGGCAGAATTAAGGTTTGTGCAGTTATCAGTTATCTTATTAGGACGTTACATTGACTCCCATTCATGGTGGGCAGCCTCATCAAAACCTTCTCCATAACCTTGATCAGGGCCTCAGAAATGACCAGGCTGTGGTCTACTGGTCCTGATAAGGTCAGAGTTTATGTTCTAAAAGGTCCTACAGTGGTGACAAAGACGAGTATAGACACACATGCACACACATATGGCCCAAACATCCAACATTTGCCAGGGAGTCAGTCAGTCAGTCAGTGAGTGAGTGAGTGACAGGTTGGTAATGCAGCAGCCTCTCTGCGGCAAGCCGGGTATTTAAAGTGTTGCATTTCAACTGGGCGGACTCACAGATCTATATCAGAGGAGAGCTTAGAGATCCTGGAAGGACTAAACTGCAAATTAACATGGTCTCAAACACATCAACACCAGTGGTATCATCAAGTCGCTCATCCTCTACGTCTGGCTGAGAAAAAGCAGCAGGCATGTGCTTGAGAGAGGACTTTAACTCCCCGGCCGGAGGATTTGACTGGCAGATTCAGTGACATCTTTTAAATCACTTCTCAAAACGCATCTTTTTCATTAATTCTGGTTCACCGTTGTTCTTTTAATATGTCCTTACTGTTTCATTTGACTATAAAACATTAGTTATTGTTGGGGGTCTTATTTGTTTTTTAATCTTGTACAATTTCCCTCTGTCCTGTCATATTTTATCTTGTTTTAATTTTGTAACTTAGTTTTGAAAAGTGCTGTATAAATAAAGTTTTTTGTTATTATCATTATTACTTAAACAATCAAGCCTTGAATGAGGTTTGACAACATTCAATTTGAATGCAGATGTTTAGTGGCTCTGTTTTCCTGAAACACAGATCAATACGCGATTTTTGTGACAAGAGGACCAAACCTGAATAATGAAACCATGGTGACATGGTCTGTGCAGCTATATAAATGCTTTTACAGTTGCCTTGTACTTCTGCTGTTCTTTCTGTTCATTGATTCTATTACTGCCTCATGCAAAATGAACCTGTGATTGTGAAAGGTCAGAGTGATAATTATATTGACTACTGCTTTGACCCTCAGGCAAAACATCAAAACTGTATAAACCTCATTAACGCATTTACTTTTCAATATTGAAGTTATGCCTGTTTTCTTGCAACATCACATTTAGGATGAAGGGAATAAATCTTATATTGTATGGAACACAACATTTTGAGACATAAGCAATGCAGATGTTGAGTAATGCATTCCATGTGTTTTCAATTTACCTGTTCAATACGTATAATATTTACCCCTGGGGAAAAAGACTAATGTTACATTTAAATAGTAAATAAAATCTACAAACAACTATAAATATACTGTAAGGTGTTTTTTCATAAAGTGTATATAGATACAGTACAGTATATGTATATATATATATATATAGGGGTTAAATATACTAATATTATCCATATTTTGGGGCCTTCTCGTGGAGGAGCAGTCAAAAACATGAACCATGAAGTTTTACTATCACCAGTTCGATTCTGGTATGGGGCCTTTCCTGCACATACATTTTATTTTTACTTATATACTACTACTTTGCTAATATTTCTTTAGCTGTTAATGTCTTTTTGTATTTTTCTCCTGGGCTGACCATATTTTGAGTTTAAATCTCTGAAAATTATCATTAACTTCCTTCTTTACATGCTTACATGCTACTGAGAAGGTTAATGAAAAGAGTTCCATCAAATTGTATGAATGTAATGTTAAATATATTATATAAGTTTAAATTGTCCCTAACCCCCATATAGCCCAGTTAATAATCTTGTGTCAATCTACATTAAACATTAAAAGATAAATCTAGTGATTCTAGAGCAAACAGAGTACCGATAAGGCTGAACAAGAAATATGTTCAATATTTCAAAAATAATTGTTATATCTCAATCCGGCCTTCTAAAAGTCATGTAATCAGAGACCTTTATGTCTAATAAGAAATGCCTTGATTTTTTCTTTTTTGTAAATACAGAAAAACAGACACTTACATAATTAAACGATATGTCAAGCTTTGGTGTGCTCAAGATAAGATACCTGCATGTTTGATGGAGGGAACCATGAGCACTGGAGTATGTAAACAACCTGGTGGGTGGGTCATGTGAAACATATACTTTGCGACATACAATCAGGTGACAGATAACAACCTTGGTTTTGTTTTTCTCCACAGTCCCATAAAGTTTAAAAAGTGTAAAGTTCATTCGCAAAGTCAGGTCACATAGGGTAACGAATCTTTAAAGCTGTGAACAAAGTGAGATCCATAATGATTGCTGAATGTGTTTTGTTTGTCTTTCTTGTTTTCAACGGAGATGAAAAGCATTTTGGAGGAGCATAAAGGGAATAAAATGCTCATTATATACAGTCTACAGTAATTTGTCACTGGAATCTCATTTTCAGTGAGTTCAGGGAGAAATGGGATACCATCCTTGATTTTTTTTTTCGTGGCTGCACAGAACAGACTGCAGAGATGTCAGAATAACAAAAGAATAATAGCCTTTTTATCTGCACACTGCAGCCCGCCTCAAATCCTTTTGTTAATGTAACTGTACAGTTTCAGTGATGTCTTCTGTCAAGGTGGTGGAGTGTTAGCAGCAATCGCCTTCTTTCATTTGCAGCTCTTTTAATGACAAACCTGAGAGATTGTTGCTGTGAATTAGAGGAGCAAACAGATGAGGACGGGTGGTGTATTTATAAGAGCAGCGCCTCTCCTCCATCAGAGTGGCCTTTCTGCTGAGTGGCATTAATGACACATGAGATCTACTGAGGCCTTAAATGGACAACAACTACTGTCCATTATGGGAGACGAGGAAAATGAAAGCGTGCAATTATCTTTACATTTCAAGGCGCAATAATAATTTTCTGCAGGGCCATAAGGTACACCAGAAGGAAAATCATACATACTCCATGCATATTCTGTGAGCAATTACTTTCTCAGAGAGGAAAAAACTCAACTCAACAAAAATCTGCCGTGTCTGCCGTGCCGTGTCTGTTTGGCCACCAGAGGAATGAAGAGCTGTCCTTGAGAGTCTCTAACACTAAGCGACAGGGGATGTGCAAACACACAGTGCCTCCAGAGAATATTGCAGGAAGGGAGATCAAGTCAGCAAAAGTTCATGTGATAGTACTTTATATGTCAAAGTACTCTGGAGAGCAGGAAATGAAAAGTGAGCTCCCTCAATGAAAAGAAAACCCTCCCATCTTATGAAAACTTTTCTAGTTTCGATGGTTATGTCATCTCTCCTGTTGGTCTGCTCGCCTCTTCCCCACCTGAGCATCCTGGAACAAAGTGCTATCCCTCCAGGCTTTATTTACTCACGTGGAAAACACAGTCTCTCATCAAAGATGCCTGGGAGTGAGATATAAGTGGGAGGCAAAATGAAAGCAAGGACAGAATGAAAGGCTGGAATGAGGAGTAACACCCAGAACAATGCCAGCTAATTACAGCCGCCAGAACACCACAGAACAAACAGCTGATGATTTGAAAAGAAGCGTCTGTCTCTCGGTGATAAATGGGGATAAAATAAGCCATGTCTCATGCATGAAATGTTAACTCGTCATGTTAATCATCCATTTGATTTTTACTGTGACAATACACACCCTCTGCATTTCCTGCGCATCACCTGGAGCCTCCTGGAACTAAACCGCTGCTGCACGATCAGTATGATCCCCCATCTGTGTCCGGAATATAGCCAGTCATCCTTGCATGGCCAATCTGAGGTTCTCTAGGAGAAGCTGTGAACTGTCTAACAGTCTTGCCCTTTCCCAAACAGAAGGGTGAGAGATAACTTTGAAATCAATTACCCTGCATTTCCTCCAACTACACGTCCCTCAGAAGAAAGCTGACTGGACGGGCAGCACACATCCTCCCTCCCTAATGAGGTCAAAAACCAGACCAGCACTGACCAAGATAAATCTTCCAATACAGTATGCTCTCATGTGAAACCCATGGAGGCAAGGAGAGGATGTATGGAGGGAGGTTATTTGCACGATCACAACTAAGAAATATAAGTAAGTGATTTACTGCCTAAACTGCAGCCGTCTTTTACAATAATCTATTTAAAGACATTGTAGCTTAAACCAGTTAACATTGGTATAAGCTGACGCAAGAGGGTCTTTATCTCTGTCATGGAGTTTGGTATTTTGTTTTTTATCCGGATTACGCAAAACTACTGGATGGATTACCATGACACTTTGTGGAAATGTGCGAACTGGGTACAGGAGGAACACATTATATTCTAGTGTGGATGCGGATCAGGAGGTGGATCCAGGAATCTTTTTTAATAATCTTTTAATTGATTTCTATGATAATAATCAACTGATCTTAATAAAACTAATTGTACATGTTTAGGGGACTGATATTTATGTGTGCACAGTTTTGTTCAGATACAAATAACAATCTGGATCTAGTGAATTTAAATGTGGTTTAATTAGGAGACCGTTGGACCTTGGCAGAGTTAAGCACTCAGAGTGTCATTCTACTTATTAGATTGGTCCATTTATGTCATTGTATTGAAGCATCACCTCGACCAGTGGTTCCCGGATTTATAGGCTAATAAACTCCCACAGCCGGAACAGCTAAAGTTCCCCTTTAGGGGCACTTTCAAATACTTTCTTTTGAGGGGATTATAAACTGGTTAGTTATATAATGTGGATATTGTTAATTTATTTCACTTAAATTGTTCATATAAATTAAATAGAGTATTTAGCTTTAGTAATAATAACTATTTATCTTTTGTTCTCGAGAGCCCATAATTTCAGTAATTTAACATACATAATTTTAATTGGGGGGGGCTACTAGATAATTGTGATGTTCAGAATCATAGCACACACTATTATAGTTACCAAACATATAGTGGTATGGTTATATTTAATTAACTAGCTTAGATTTCCTATGTAACAATTTAAATGTGTAATCTCTCTGTCACATCAAAAATTAAGCTGAGCATCGAAAAAACAGCCACGAATGAAACGCATGCCCTCCTTTGCATTCCTTCATTTCCAGGAGCAGTGTTTTCAGTGGGAGAGAAAAACTCCCTTTGCTGCATAGTCTGGACTTAACTTCACTTCACTGTGGTCATTATATCCCTGCCATTTTTTTATCACCAGTGGAGACTAAATTCCTCCCCCTCTCATAGTGATTCATGCTACTTCAAAAAAATAATTTAAAACAAAAGACCGGTCTATAGTGCAAACAATAAAATCAGAAATGTACTTTTACCGTCAGCGATTGTGTGTAAAAATTAACGGCATGTTGTGCTATTGTATTTTGTGTTTTGCTTTCTATAAAATATACACAGTAGTTCCCATTTCCATATGAAAATTGTAAATACAGTCTTGGCACGCCTGGCTTAGAGAGTCTTATGTGTGGTGCTAGAATGAGGATTTATTTCATTACAAACATTTTGCTAGGTAAACTTAATTTATTTTATTTTATTTTTTAATTACTAAAATATTCCTGCAAATGCATGGATATAAGTTCAATTTCTGAAATGGTTCTGTCAAAATTCATGATTATTCTATAAATGTTACTTTAATATGCACAGGAAACAACCTATCAGGCTTCATAGACTATATACAGTAGGGCAATGTGGTATAACAACATTTCAACCTCCATGTCGCAAATAACTATGCTGTGAATAAAGTATACTGTATAAAAAAGTCAAATAAATGAAAGTAAACTGCTCCAGTAATATGGATGAGGATGATGACCTCTATGAAAATCTATAAAATAAAAATTAAATATACATTTTGATTACACTTAGGTGACCTATGGTACATCACACTAGATTTGTACAACACAATATTATTCTACACAGTAATATAATAAAATAATAATTTAAGATGACTTACAAAGGAGTCAGGGGAGACGCTCGAGTCTTAGGGAGCAGCTGCAGAAAACAAAGCGTTAAAGAAGCAGATGCAACAGGAGGAAAATCCATCTAGTCTCACCACTGTGCTGCTGTGCTGTGGTGATAGAGGCAGTGGGAAGAAAAATTGGATGCAAACAGGCATCCATCTGAGGCACAGCACAAATGCAAATATGTGCACATGCAATGCATAAACAAGAAAAATAATGTGGATGTGGAAAAGTCATGAGAATAAAAGGTTCTGTGATTAGATTCTTCCCATGAAAACAAAACTCAGAAATGTGTTTGCTATAGTCAGAGGTGTGCGATTCATGTTCTGCTGCAGGTTTACCCTAAAGTAGAGAAAGTCAAAGACCCCTTGCATTTTCCAAAGTACATTGAGAGGAGCCCGCAGAGACATACTGCTGCCTTGAACAACAATTTCCACCGTTTAAAAAAGCTGTGAAGTATTTTTCAGCAGTAAACAACAATGCACAGAAAAAAATAAAGTTAGCAAGTCCCATCTGATATGATGTTTTTATGTTGGTAAGGTGAAAGAATTTGTAACTCTAGGAACATAATACTTTCAGTTATTGTAGTATATGCGCCGCAAAACATATTTTTCCCTCTGGTAACACACTTAATGATAGAAAATTATGGCAGTAATAAATAATATAATAATGTTATCTTGGTACTGGCTAAGATGTTGTCTCCTAGTGAGACTGCTTGAGGACAAGAACAAAAGAATAACAACCTTTTGGCAATACATTTGAATGTTTGAACTATATTATCTCCAGGTATGAGTAAAGTGTCCTTCTCTCTCTTCTTCCCTGAACCAATCATACTGCTCTGCAGGTTTAATAGAATAAGTCCAATTGAGACGGAACTCCTTGAATATGTTGCTTTTGTCCTTGAAGACAAGGCAGGATGCATTCATTCAACTCCATGGAACAGTAATCATCATTTGTTTTATCTCTGAAGAAAGAGACTTCGGTGTCACACTAGTCTAAATGTTTGCACTTACAAGCTGCACAGACACAGATTGTGAAATAAATAGCAATTTTTCTAAGTCACAATAAGGGTTACGTTTGGCCTGAGGGCTAATAGTGTGAGACCCGTACTTTCAGACAATGCCTGAAGACATATTGCACCTGGCTACTCTTTTTTAAAACTTGTTTATCCAAACCAGATGAGAAAAATCGCCAATTGCACAAGGCAAGTGTCACAGGTAGGATATTCTGTTCTCATTGTCACAGCATGCGGACACAGGAAAAGGTCTTATTGGTTTGTTAGCATCCAACTTAATTTTCAATGAACTTGCTTCACACACAGTGGAATATGCACAGTTTATGGTGTAAATTGGGGCAAAAGCAGATTCAATTTCCATGGCACCGCATCAGTAGCACATGCATTTGCTCAGATGAGTAACTTGTTTGTTGTGTGAAATGTGAACTAGCACCCCTCAGAGACAGCAGCATCATGTTTGCAAGATCATCCTCATTAGCTTGTTTGCATTCGCAGACCATCCCAAGTGGCAGCTAAAGCGAGCAAGGCTGTCAGCTGGGGGCGGGTGTAATATGCAGCCGCGTCAGCAGATATACTGTACACAGCAGGCAGTCAGATGACACTGCCTGTGTGGGGCCTCAAACATCTCTCGTGGCAAATGTAACCTCCACAGATGTTCTTTAAAGGGAAAAAGAAACCAGCTCGATGCACATGAGCACTCAGTACTCATGGTTGGACCACATTTGTTTTTGAAATCACCCTTCGTTTTGATCTCAACTACACACCTGTAAAGTTTTGTGACTTCATATTGCAATAAAACATTTCCAACGTAAAAAGTGCCACCTCATAATGTTTGAAATGTCCTTGAACATGCAAGAATTCCTGATGAGGTCCTATGCAGGCACTAACCTTCTCCCTGAGATGCGAGCAGATGTCCTTCTGGTTCTGACGGTCTCTGTGTTGCTCCAGCTCCTCCTGGTGGACATGTGTTGCCTCTTGCAATATGTACAGGGCTCTCGCCAGTAGCTCTTCCTGGTCCCGTTGCCACTGCTGGGTCACGACATTCAGCTGTACCCGGATGAAGCGCTGCCAGTCCCACGCACGTTCATGCTGGATCTGAAGGAACAACATGAACGAAGAAGATGTTATTTGCGCATGCAGTGACACAAATGCATTACTTAATGTATTAAGGTATTACGTTTATTACTTGTTCTTATGCACATTTAATCAAAATCCTTGTAATATTACTGTGAATAACAAAGTTTGTTCCAAACAGATGACATGCAAAGATAAATCCACAAACACCATATGCAGTACACTGTCTATATTAATTGCAGCAGGACGACAGAGAATACTCAATGTCAGGTGTAGCTCAGCTGGTTTATAAAATGCTTCTTCTCTCCTGGCTGTGCAATGTCCTGGAGGAAAACAGTTCTTTTCTGCGTGAGGGCTGCCTGTAGCCATTCATCATTTTGTCATCACTCACAGAGGCTGCATCACTTGGCTACTTCATTGGAACAGAAGGAATGATATTCGTCTATGGGCTAATAGCGGCTAACTGACGGTGGGAAGGCATTAGACGGCTGACTGGTTTTATTGAAAATGAGTGAGCTGACAGACCTGCCAGCGATACAGAAGTGCCAGCAGCAGTCAAGCAAATCCTGTTTATTAATGCACAACTTTGGAACTTGAAGAAAGATCCACCCTTTTGTTCTTCACTTCCTGTCGTCCCCTTCATTACTCCTTCCCTTCGCTGTGTCATTAGAGTGATTGAGCATTGTGTCTACATGTTTTCATGTTTGCACTCAACATGCAATCTGTGTTCACACGCAACCAAGGATGCACTGGGGCCACCATATTGCACACAGAATGTAGGTGGAAACATCTACTGCACCGTGTCTGCAGTGCACACTTAAAGTGGCACGACACTTGGTTCAGCTGCCGCAACCACATTCCCTCTGCAGAGTGCTGTCTCCCCGTGAGCAGAACAAAGGAAATAAAATGAGAGAATAAAAACAACTCCCTGGATATTGTCAGAAAAAGGTAAGAGGTATGAATTATTTTCACTATTGCTGAGTGGAATATTATGAGGGTATTACTTTGAAATCCTGCTGGTACTCTGCTGGCCTCCTGTTTGTTATAAGAGTACATGAAAGAGTAATGGGGAATAAAGAGCCCCATCCAGCAGAGGGAGATCTCCACATTAAACTAGATGGAGTAGCACTGTGACTGAGAAACTGATTCCACTTGAGGTCATCAAAAGAACACAGAAACCATGCCCACACACTTGCTGTGAAACAGAAATATGTGTTTGGGTTGTGATTGCAGGTCGTTGTCCAAAGAACCGCTGCTTGAAATTTATTTTATTCAAATACTTTAGTATTAATGGAGCAAAGTAAGTTAGTGGCACTAATGCAAGTCTCCAATCAAATCCTATGTCTGCTCTGGGAGTGGGTGTGGCTCAGGAGGAACAGTGGGTGATCCACTAACTTGATGGTATAGTTCAATCCACAACTCTTCCTAAACACTAAATTGGCCTTGATGCCTAGTCCGTCATAGTGTGAATTTGTGACAAAAAACATGCACTATATACAGCAGTATATAGCATATTGGTGCTGCATGATGAATGGGTGAGTGTAACTTGCTCGCTAAAACTGGAAAAAATATTTTGCCCTGCAAAAAAAGAAACTGAAATGAAAATTTCACAGTAGCAATATTTTTCACAAAGTATAAAGTGAAACTCAAAAAAAATGTATCTCTCCCAAATTATTCTTCTCAATCTTTTCTCAAAGAAAAGGAAAATATTCACACCTGTGGCTGCTGCAAGGCTTCAAGAGGAGCATAGGAGCTGATTTATAACCAAGGCTCTTACATTGTTACACTGCAAAAACTGTGGTAATATGTCACACCTGCTATCTGGCTATGAAATGAAGCAGCTTTACCTTGCATTAGAATTCAAAGAAGATTGAGACAAACCCATGGAGAAGTTATTCTATCATCCTGAACTGACTGCACATAGATGGAACTAAAGCATAGGTATAGTTCAAACAGGAACAACCATCATATAAGGAAGTTAAGAGCAATGACATTTACTCCACGGAAATGATTGAAATTGAAATGGAATTGAAGTGCTATAGAATTTCAAACTATGTGCCTACAAGAGTAATGGGAATTATTTCAGCCCATAGAAAATGCCAGGGAAACATGTGCTCTACGCAGACTAAAGCCAGATAGAATCCATGTTTTCACTCTATATCAAATGGAGCCAAACATTTCACTGCATAGAGTTTATTTCAAGCAGGGGACCAGAATTTGAGCATACTGGTTACTAATCAGTGTCATACTTGTTTACTTAATTTGGAATTCAGTTACAGAAAATGCAAAACGCCTGTATAAAATCAAGATATATTTCCGAGCAATGATAGCAGAATAGCATTTATGCACTTAATCAGTGGGGTTTCAGCAAACCAATCTGCAATTCTCCCTGATTATTCACTGCACACAAGCCATCTCAATAACGACTAATAGATGAATTAAGTAGAGTCAGCAAATCATCTCTTGGTCTGTTTCTGAGGAAGTAAAGACTGTTGAGAAACACGTCTCTCCTCCTGGCAGCCTCCCTCCAGCACTGAAAGATCACAGCTCTAAATGCAGCACCCAGCTGGAACTGATATAAGGATAGTGTCTCTGGGTGCGGGTGACAAAAGGAGTGAGGGGCTGGCGGTCGTCATGGCAATGCAAGGCTGCGGGGTGAGCGAATAGTCCACAGTGAGTGACATGGCACTTCCTGCAGCGTGTTGAGCAGATCATTGTCCGAGCTTATCTGTGTGTCAGTCTGTGCTCGGGTTCAGGGTACTGAGCTATATTGATCAGGGAGTCTGGGACTCACACACTGAAGAGCTGATATAGGGTGGGTGTGGTGTCTGTGGATGTGTGTGTATCAATATACAGGATGTGAAAGTGTCCCACAGGATAAATCTAGCTCTTTAGCAAAGCCCTTAACTCTCATGTGCTCAATGAATTCTTTAAATTGAGAAAGAAATCTATTAAAACATCACGACTTTGTCAAATACCTTGTTTTGTCTGCTCATCAGTTGAAAACTACAGATAGATATTCCATTTACTATTACATAACAAGTGTATCTGAGAGGATCAGACCAGGAAAGTTTCAATGCTTTCTTTAAAACAATTAAACTTAATCAATGATTTGACTATTAAACATGGTTGCTGGTATATTTGCTGTTGGTTGGCAAAACAAATGATTGAATATCTGTCAGGATATCTGTGTGTGTGTGTGTGTGTGTGTGTGGATGCGCATGTGTAAGTGTGCCTGTGAATGGTGTGTACTCTGTTACCGTACTGTACACTGTTAACAACATATGTAAGCATATATGTTTCAGGCCAAGGCCGATTGATGTGTGTTCACGTCTGTCTATCTGTTGCAGATACTTTCTTTTCGATAGATTTGTCCATCCATTATCTGCACCACATGTCCTCTGAGGGTTAGAGTCTCCAATTAATTTAACCCCAATCTGCATGTTTTTGGACTATGGGAGGAAGCCAGAGAAAACCCATGCAATCACAGGGAGACTCAGAGAAAGACCTTGGCCAAATCGTGATTCAAACCAAGAGCATTGTTCTATTAAATAAACAGAAACACCATTATTTTTTGCTTCAAATAACTTTGCCTGTGTACTGACCAGCTCTTGTCTACTTTTCTCAGGGAAGAGTCTCTGCAGCATGTCCATGCAGAGCGCTCTGTGGTTGGGTATGTCATGAGTGTACTGCAGCAATGTGAACTGGTAGCATAGATGGTCATCCGGACACCAGCCACCGAACCTGCAACAGAATCTAATCATAAAGCAAATTATATAACACTGTGACACTGTGTTCCCCTTCTTTCATTTCACTTCACTTTATTTCTAAAAGGTTATTATGATAAGCTACATAATATTCATATAAGCAAACAGTGGTGTAAAGCGGCCATATGGGATTAAATATCTGATTGTGAAGTAGCCTTTAAAGAATTATATAATCAAGCTCCTGGCGAAGAAGACTTGACTTGTTAAGAGCCTGCCTCTGGGGTTTGAAGTGACTGCCTCTGAGTTTTTCATCCTTCACTTTGTTCTGCCTATGTGTGTATTTATCAAAATGAAAGACTGAAAATCAACGACTATTTTTATCAACACAAAGTAAGATATAGGATATAGGATTGTCATTATTCACTTATTTTCTACCTGCAAGAATAAACAATCAAACAAATTGCTCATTAAGTCAATGTATAAGCAATTAGAATTATGAAAACCAACAAAGCTGAACATTTGTTGTCTTCAGGCTTACCTGTCTGCTTCTTGCAGCTGCTCTTGAAGGCTGTGCAATCTGCGCTGATATCTTTCTGACAGGGAGAGGAAGGCCTGGATCAGCGAGTCCTTCAGCTCTGGGTAAGGGCAGTCTGTATTTAACACTTCCTCTGGAATACTCTCCATGTTCACCAGAGTATCTGAAGTACTGGTAAAATATTTCTGCGGAGGACAATGTGATCATCTTTAAGATAAGGCATTTGCTTTGGTGAAGTATAGGAATCACTTTTTATTGAAACTGCTGAAACAGAAGCAGGATATTTAGAGTTAGCAGTGGGAACCTCCTTACCTCTAAACCAAGACATTTAATCTCCTCCTCCACTGCTGCACACTCTGAATCAAGTTTTGCAGTAACTTCATCTTGTTGGTCTTTCACAAATTCAATCTGGTGATTCAAAGATAAAACCATAAAGATATGTGTCAAATACAGGCTAAAAAAATCTAATGAAAGTCATATAATTTTATTCCATTCTAGCCAGGGAAATGAAACTGGCAAGGATGGATCCATATTAATGTTTTAATAAAGAATCTGATGAAATTCTATAGCAGCTTTAACAAATCAGCAAAAATACACAGAGCAGGGTTACAAGATAAAAACCACTCTTTATGTGCTGTTTGCTTAAATCACCAGTACTGGTTGAACTCAGCCTCTCCTGTCATCGCACACATGCAGATTCAGAAACATCTATCATCAGAGTGATTCAGTATTATTAGGTACTCAGGTTATTTCCTTAGGTAATTGATATTTCCGTAAGAAAACATCTGTCCATCCACTAGCAATATTGCTTGTCCTTTAAAGGAACACATGGAGGCTGCAGCCAGGCCCACCTGACGTGGGATATGAGGCAGGTTACCCCCTGGATCACAGGGTGGACATACAGAGACAAACAACTGTTCACCCTCATATTCACACCCAGAGGAAATATAGAGATACCACTTCACATTAACAAGCAACATACAAGGATGAAAGAGTGCCTCAGAACTCTTTTCTAGGTCCTCTCATCATTTGTTTATACAATATACAAAATGATCTGCCTTCATCATTTGTTGGAGTTGATAGATATTGATAGATATATATATATACATGAAATATTGTAAAGAAGTTGCTATTAAACTTACAAAGGTAATGGAATTTGTTGGAATTTTGCTTGCATCTTAAGGAAAAATAATTTGTCTATGTATGTATTGCATGTATTATGTGAGAAGCTACAAATGGTTTTTAAATACCTTGGCATCACCTCAGATTCAATTCTCTGAGGTGATTCTCTTGTATTTCAAAGTGATGTGATATTTGTTTATCTTGTTGATAATCTGTTAATGTCTTATCTTTTAGAGAGAGTACATTCATTTCAGTAAACAGAAAAAGGAGAGAAAGAGAGAGAAAGAGTAGAGTCATCTTTTCAATTTGCAATATTTCGCAGCCAGTAACATGGCATTGGCTTAATTTAACTCTTACTGCACTCTTTTGACTCCATTTTGTAAAATTTAACTTAACATCAGTCTCAGTTGGTTTATTAAGTTTTCATTTAAACCATCCAGTCAAAGTGAAGCAAAATGGTGAAATAAGAAAGAAAAAAAAAAGAAATGTATGTGTGTCTGGATTTTTACTATTTTGCCAATGCAATCAGTTGGATTGTTGTGGACCAGCAACAGCAGAGGGGGTCATGGGAAAGAAACAAGCATGAGCGAGCCACAGGGAGGAGACAAAATGGCTGGCAGACCCTTCATTCCCAGTATGGTCAGTCTTTAAGGACCCCTGCTTACTCCCTAATCTCACCATTCATCTCTCAATCTTGTGAAAAGCTTCTGAGAGTCAGAGGCAGAATTGGTGACTTAGGGACAGTAGATATCTAACAGACGGGAGATTTAAGGACTGTGAATACAACACTGTGTGCAAGCTGTGATTATTGTGCAAACACGTAGGGGAGTGGTTTCATTGAAATTTCGGCTGGACAAACTGATTTGGTTTGACACCTGCAGAGCGTGAGCACAGTTAAGGTTCTTTGTCCAAACCTTGAGTGTCTGGACACGATAAAATATCACAAAATGGTTTGCTAAAAGATGAGGACATGGATTTCTGAATGCAATATAGTATTCTCCAAAGCTTAGATTTAGAAATCCTGCCATTCTGCTTGCTTTCTACCATTTAAGCTCTGTTACAGTTTGTCTTTTGCTACTCTGGTTTATAACAGTGGACATTCTATCATGTTTTGATTTCATTTTGCAGAAATACCTGTTGTATTACTTGTTCCCAGTTTGATGTATTGACAGTGAGCTGTTGATGTTGTACTTCACCCAGTCTGAAGAACAGGTCTTCCCGGAGCTGGTGAACAGGCTGCACTGCGGCTATCCTGAATGCCTCCCGCTCCCTCTCAAGGAAAAGCTCTTAATCCCAAAAACACACAAGGACGCATATTAGTACAGTACTCATAGACAACAGAGACTGGTGTAGATACACAGTTACTGTTTAAATACTGTATGTCACCATAATCCTTTAGGGAGAAGATGGCAGTGTCTGTTGTGCTAGAGGGTCTGATCTGCTCCAGAAAATCATGAAGGTCATTCTCAGCCTTCTCCCTGTTTCATGGGACAAGATAAAGTCACAGTAAATACAACCCAAGCTAATAACTCACAATACTAGAGAATACATGAAGACAGACAGATAATAGCACCTGGTCGTCTTTTGAATTGGACACATTTGTGAGTCGTGCTAGGTCATGTCTCTGGCCACTGGCTCTGGCTCTGCTTTTACCAACTCCTGAAGAAAATATTACTACATATATCTATAACGTATCATTGCTGTGTCTATATCTGCTACAGTAATAGTGTACAGTAGGTTTTTGCAGTTTTTTTGCATTAGACAGCCAAACGTCAATGTTCGGTTCCTACATGATCACCATCAATAATTAAACTAATAATGCAGTTGACCTAGCATCTCCTCATCAACATGAATCAACCAGTGGTGGAAGAAGTATTCTTCACGTATGCATTTTGAATTTGAATTTAAATACCCAAGCAGTGGCATTAAAATTGACTTAAAGAAGCAAAAGTAAAAACAAATACTCTTTATGTAGAATGGAACATTTCAATATAAAACATTTGACATTGCTTGATATGGTATGAGTATGATACTTTATACCTGCCATATACTGCCAGGAATTGTTTTGTAGGTATGGAAGTGGCTTAACTATGAAGCACACACAATTTCAGACTGGTGATATTTGCACTAATAAGCCTAGGAAGGGAGCTTTAATAATAACTTATGTCTTAATAACAGAGGCCAACATGATTGTGTATAATGGAATAGTAACCATAGAGATACACTAGCCTGTTTCCCCATTTTACAAGGTGGCTTTTGAAACCCTGATAGCAGTGGCACATCTTTATGACTGGGCTCATTACTGAGGCTCACACTTGTGTACATCATTAACCTTGGGTGGCTCAGACACAGTCATTACGCAGCCAAACAAGCTGCACCCCAGAGCTAATGCTGCCCTTCTCACTTCACAAGGCATGACACCACTGGGGCCCCAGTCTCACACTTATGCCTCAGCATGTAGAGGAAGAGTGTTCCCGCATTCAGTCCAACCCTCTGTCTCCACACAGCTATAACCCCCACTTATCTGTTTCTCTTCCCTAATTCAATGTCATCACTGTAGAAAAACGGCTTACATGTAAATCTTCCTTCTCTTCATTTTTTCCTCAATGATAACATTTTTCTTCAGGACGACTTCTATCCCCCATTTTTACACCCGATTTTTCTCAAGGAGGTTCCTGTCTGGGCTCAATGGGGCTTAAATGGAACGGTGGCAGGGTGTAATAGGCAGATTCAGAAAACTGCAGCAGATAATGACAGGGAGTAATAGGGGGGTCTTACTCAGCCTTTTGCAGCCTGGGGCACTCTCTGCTCCACACCTTTCTGTGCTGCCGTAAAATTGAACTCTCCTTGGTTGCCTTGGCTGCACACTGAATTTTCTGAACCTATAAAGACAAGGTTTAATGCACAGCAGGAACAAAAAGTTTCCCTCAGTTAAAACATAAAAACCACTGGGAAGATTTTTCTTTTAAATGCACTTTAGCCGTGACGTTTATTTTCACCTACAATTAACTTTATCTGAACAAAACCATATCTGAAATGCTTGAGTGCATCAATTATCTGAATCACTTTGTAATATTCTCAAAGAATAACAACAATTAAAGTGACTAAATCATAACTTTGCTAAGATGTTAGAACATTATATAAATGAAATAGTTGTTTCCTCCCTCTTTGCACACTTGGGATATATTACTGGCATGTGCTTCAGTCTTTATTAGCATCATTGTGTCTGTGAGTCAGATAAATCAACTGTAACAGTTTCATTGTTATAGCATGAAAGCAGAATAAACAGCGGCAAATTGAAATAGTCAAGTTGAAACTTGTATGGGATGCATGAGGCATATTATCAGGAAAAGAAGGGGGAGGTCTTAGTCTCAATCTATTATCACTGTTTTTCTTTTTCATCATTAAAGAACAAAGCCCTGCTTGTATGCTCATGGTATTCTATCAGTGTTTTTATACACAGGCCACTGGCTCAGATAATTGCACATATGAAATTCTCACAAAACTATTACATGGGTACAATCTATTTCATAGGAGTTAGGATATTGATTTATGCCATGACTCTTTATGTACATGTCAAGTTGTTGTTGCTGTTGCAAAGAAGGTTTGAATGTATTTACCCTGAGGGTGAAGTCCATTTTATAGTTTTTGGAATGTACAGAAAGTAGTGCTGTTCTGAGAGAAATAGGCCAAACTGATTTAATTCCGTGCTTCTTCCAGGCAGAGTAAGGATATCTTAATTTGCATTGGCTGTGTAATAACTGTAAACAGGAGGGTCAGAGGTGTCAGTCAAGCAGAGTGTTGACATGCTTGAGAAGCAATCTAATCAGGCAAAAAAACACCAGTGTGGGTGGACCAGTCATCTTGTACCCAGACCTTGAAATAGAGATAATCTCTGTGTGTATGTGCATGAAAAAAGGATGAACAAGGTAGCAATTTAATTATATTCTCCTATGGGATTTTGGTGTTTCAATTACAAACTTTCATATTTTCTAATTAGGCCAAGGTGCTTCAGCAGAAATGCAGAAATATTAATGCTGCTAAATATGTAGAATCAATAGAAAACAATATTGTGCTCATCTTTATCTTGTCCTCCTTTATTCAAAACAATATTATCTATGTTGGATCTCCTTTTCTAATTGTTTAATTTTCATTGCTAAATGTTGTTTGTTCTAGTGCAATATAGATACTTATTACAGTGTATACATTTTTTACAATCTTGCACAGTCTTATCAAGGGGTACTTTTTAAAAAGGTTTTAGCATCAACTTATGCTGCCAGTCCCTTCCTGGAGAGCACAAATGATCCCATGCTTGAGGCGACTCACGGTCATTTATTTTCCCTGTATCACATCACCAATGGGAGATGCTCAGAAAGCTTGCCTTTCAGCAGGGTGACTGAATGTAAACAGCCCGTCTTATCTAGGTTATGCAGAGAGCAGGGTTGTAAGGAGCCACAGGCAACCATAATGATACTAAAAGGCTTCTGCCACAGTGTACAAATTAAAACACTGCAGGTCGAACAGCCTAATCTCTATTGCCCCTAGTATCAACTTTTTGCTCTGCTTGGAGTCACATGACGATGAACTTCAAACAGTTTTATAGAAAACCAAGAGCAGCCCAATAAATATTCATGAAAGTGATTACGCTATTGTATAAGGCAGTAACACTACTGCTCTGTTTCATGTTGGACTAACTATAACGGTTATTTAATGCCTGTTTCGTATGAATTGAAATCCCTTTACATTGTGTGGTGTGCAGGAAAGAGTAGAGCAAGGTAGACAAATTGAAAGCAATGGAACTCCTGTTTACAACTCCACTCCCATTAAAATCAGGCCATTGTCGGTTCACGCTATTCTTGTGGTGGGTAATGGGGACTGTTTGCCATCTGGAAAATATTTCTATCACAGTGTTGTTGCATATTCTTCTTTATTTACTTCTGAATCGTGTTGTTATCAAATATAACAGGAATTGATTTCATAATAGCATTGCCTAGCACAGCACAGACATGACACTGACAAAAATCAAAATGTACCTTTTGTCCAATGACATCAGACTCCTGGCGTTTGGCATCAACAATAGCTTGCAGTCTTTTATAGTCTGCAGGATTGTACTTTGAGCTGCCAAGACCATTTTTCATCCGTAGTGTCACTTTTTCTGCATGGATGAAAGCAAATGATATGGCTGAATTAGGATCATTGGAATTGCTGAAAATCTCATCACTTTTGATGTCTGAAGTAAAGTCTTTATGCTGACTTCAGCGAAAAAAAGAAATAGAGGTGAAGGCAGAGGAACGGCATCAGCTGAGCACTAATGGATTGTATGGGTAATTCAGAAATGACTGCTTAAAGCGTCACTGTAAGACAAGGGGGGGCTGCCTGACTATCTGTGTCAGGCAGTTTTTTTTAGTAGTTCAGCTGTGGCTCAAAGAGGCAGGTGAATAAACATGAGCAATGCAGTCTCAGTCTAAAGCATCAAAGACTTGACAGCACCTGGTGAATTCAACACAAGGACTCCGGGTCAAATCTGTTCAACAGATAAGAGGGACACTATGTCACAAGAAGGCAATGTTTAGGGCCCATGTCACACTTACTTACCTACATCACCTGCTCTGTAGGTTGAGCTGAATGGATGTAGATCCTTTCCACTCATCTCAGTAGAGCTCTGTTTAGATCCACTGTAGTGCCTGCAAAATAAAAAAGGAATCAATGCCAGGTACCTGATTTTTAGCAAGGTCATTCAAATGATTAACAGGAGACTACAGGATCTACAGGAAAAGTAATAAAGCTCATCAAATGTCAAACTTTGCCATCAAGGTCTGCATGACATTGCAAGAATATCAATCAACTCTCACAAGTGTTAGGGATTGGGCAGTGCACCCAATGTGATCAGATATGCCGCCGGAACATCTCTAGGTCTTTGTTTTGGATTAAGCTTTGAAAAATTCTGGCTATGTGTGACGGGGTTGATGTGAAGTGTGCAGGAATGGATTTAATCTATGAAAATGAAATGAAAACTGACGCTCTGTTCTGCACCCACTGAAGATAATTGGTATTTTTCTGCTCGCGTCTTCAGACATTAAGACTTTTTTGGAATCTCGGAGCAAGATTAGTACTTTGAAGGCCAAATGCAACATGTTGCTAGGATTCAGGACATAATAGCAGCCTTAACATAGTCTGCTGATTTTAATACGAAAGACGTAAATGTACCCTCAACCCTGCTGAACCTATTGATCAAGGAATTGCTAAGCTGGTCAAATAACATCATGCAACAATTTTGATTTTACATTTTTAGTTTCAGCCAATGCAAAGTGGAAATATCCTAAACTCACTGCTTTCAGCCTCTTAGTATTTGTTATATGGGATAATAAACTGTAGTGAAAGGTATCTATCATGTACATATATTCTGTATTTTTGTTTTGCAGTTTTTTTAATTTTATATTTTATTGCCTAATCTATTCCATTTTACACTTTCACATGTTCTCTTATCTACCTCTTTTTGACTATTTGTTGCTCTAACAAGTGAATCTCCCCAGTGCTGGATCAATAAATCCTGTCTTATCTTATTGTATCCTGTCTAGTTTTATCTGATCTCAACTGTCAGCTTCATGAAATAGACATTTTACTCAAAACTATATCTCTTGGTTAATACATAAAATACCAGGTTGATTATTAAAAAACCCAACGGTTAAAGGCCTAATTTCACATAAATTAGCTGTTAACATAGCTGGAATTGTTTTATTATCTTGTCAGTTAGCCAGGTCCACACTCAAAAAACCAGGCAATTGGAAATACAACAAGCACAGTGAACAGAAACAGCGACAATATGCACAGAGCTAATGTAATACAACCTAAAGTGACGCAAGCGACCTGTTTACAGCATGTTAGCCGAGTTATATTAGCATTCAGCATTCGAGCCTAGCTTACCTTGTGCTAGCCTCTGCACTGTGTTGATCAAATTTGTAACCAAGGAAACTATCACTCTCCCGTCCCATTGGTTAATTCAACAATCCGAACCTCACCGGGAACGCCCCCCCCGGCTCATGTCGTAGCCAATCGGGAGTGTTTTCCCCCTCCACATTCCCAGTGACGTCACTCCCAGCTCGCTCACAGCCTGGCTGGGACTGAGCCGCTGGAGAAGCAGCGGAGGGGTCGCGTTCTTTTTCTTCTCCTCCTCCTCCTTCCTCCTCCGCTATGGAGGCGAGTTCCGCTCTTCCTCATGCATGGGACTAACCAGCGGGACTTTACCGGTGAAGTTTCCAGTTCCGATGTTCCGCGCAGCCCGGCCAGCGCTACCACAGCCCTCCTAAGGTATTTAAGGTTTTTTTCTCCTGCTCCTTCTGTAACTGCAGAGGAGCTGAGGAGGAGGAGGAGGAGGTGGGGGGGCGTGAGGGGGGGAATGAACGCAGGACTGTTTGTGAAACTCAGAAACTCTTGGGTTCAGTGGGGAAAGAAAGTGACGGCACCGCGGGCTTCTTCTCTGGCTCTCCCTTCCCAGCGGGAGGGGAGAGTCTAATGCTCCGCTAATCTTGTTCTTGTGACCGGGTTCAGCGCCGACGACGCTCACCTTTCCGAGGGACCTCCACCGAAAAGCGTCGGGATGAAAACTACGCGTGCTACGTACAGAAACTGTTCGCTGGTGCAAAAACACACACAACGCTCAAACTCGCCTTTCTTTCTTTCTTTCTCTCGTATCGTGCAAGTTGTGGAGGACAGGGCAGGTGAGCTTTACTGTGCGGGAATCTCTGGAATGCGAGGTCGCAGAGATCCAGACACTCCTCGCCCGCAGAGATAAACTTACCTTTACCCTCACGCTTTACTCCGCTGCGCTCAAACTACGCCATATTTAATGACCCTAATCTGCATTAGGCGTGTGTTTCTTTTTCCCTTTTTAACGTGAACCGTGATTCTCGTTGCTTTGTGTTGTGCAGAAACTACTTACCCTTCTCTGAGGAACACGGAGGACTCACCTTTTTATTATTGCCCCTCAGGCTGTGAGGGAAAGAGTCACATTACCTGAGCTAATGCATTTTAATGCAGCTTTCATTAAGTGTGGTTGATTGGGTGGCTGCTTTTCTCAAATCTAAACCCTGTCATTTAGAATTTATAGCATCAGGGAGCACACATGTCCTTCATCACTTTGGATTGAGGAGTGTTCTGAAATGCACAATATATAGTTTCACAACCCAGTGCTTGTCTATATGAAGTGTGACGAATATAATGAAGAATAGAGGAGTTTACCAATTAACTTGCATCCTCCTGTTTGCTATGTTTATATTTATTATTACTATGTTTTTATGCATAATTGCAACCAAGGCAGGGAAAACACAGGAGATCGAATAAGCAGCCGTTCATTTTGTTGTGATGAATACTCACCAAAGGTCAAGTCTCATACTTGATGCATGAAAAGGATGCTGTTGCCATGCAGACATAGAAAGGCTTCCGCCCTCATCAGCGATTGCGACCAGATTGCAAGATAATTGTATTTTCAGCCAATTAACAGTGGGAGTGCATATGGCAAATGACATCATATGTGAACTCTTTGTCACACTCTCTCAGTCTAATACACTCACACACACCCGAGAGGAATCTCTGGGTTACTCCCCTCGTGATTCACATTACTGCACTAGATACACACACACACACGGTGCTGCACAGCTGACAGCCACTGAGGTTGGTTTGCTGTGGAATTGAAACAACAGCGTGATGTTGGATTGAAGAGTCAAACTCTCCCACTTGTTATTTTGTGTGTGTGTTGGCTTCAGTAGTTTATGTTTGCACCTAAACCAGTGAGACTGTTGGGCACAAGGCGAGCAGCTTCAGCAGGGCGGACGTGCAGCCAACCAGTTGTCAGTTTCATTTGTCCTGCTCCTTGGTGTGTGTCATTCCTCCCATACGAGGCAGTGATGCATGTTTGTGAAACTTTGTGTATCGATTATGCAGGTGATGCAGTGGATTTAAAAAGTATTGTTTCCCTGAAGCACAATCTCTGCCACAGAGGGGAAAAAAAACACAACTGCTAAATACCTTTTGTGTGCTGGTGTCATTGTTCGACCCTGCCTTTACGGTGAGTTCCTTTTAATGGGAACTGACAACGGTTGAATAGTTTAGCACCCTTTGGCGGGCCTTTCTTCTCCGTATTATTTTCCCTCCCTAACATCAAGGCTTAAACCCTCAGTCTTATGTTGCATGTCAGCTTTACTTTTTTCTGCTACGATCAAGAAGTACCAACCCCCTTCCTCCAAAAGGGAAAGAATTTCCAGTCTGTGCCTCGCAGGCTGGATGTTTGGTTATTTTCCTTGTGTCTGTGCATATGTTTGTTAGTGAAGTGTTGAAGTATCAGCCTCTTCATTCAGCAGATCAAGAGAAGGCCAGCATCCCTTGTGTACACTTCAGTCAGTCAGGTGCTCTTAATAGTCGAGCTTTTACAGAGCGGCCGTCAGCTTCTTGTGTTTAATTTACTCAGTTACTCGCCCTTGAGTGTATCTTTTATGATTTGCTGTTTTCATAACGTACAGAGCGAGTGCTCATACATATCAGCACATGATTGACCTTGCATTACAAATCATTTGTATTACACACAAAGATGCAGATTTGTTTTAAAATGAGACCTATTCAATGATAAAGGTTTGTTTATTATATCTTGGAAGTTCCCTCAGCTGTGTCTGCAGTGTGGGCTGGTAATAATAGTTTGCAGATGAAAATCAATCAAAAGAGAAGGATTTATTTATCCTATGTAGTGGATTTTTTTTTCACATCAAATCCACCCGACATTGCTTTTTTTTCCATCGCACATTTGCATGGTGTGGTCTGAAGAGAGCTGATCTTACTCTGCTGCCTCCCCTTGACAACAAACCACACAGAGAATTTCCATCATGAACTTTATATCTGTCTTGTCATATCCCTCCAGAGATTTTCAAAATAAAGCAACAAGAAGTGAAATTATTCAAAAAATTATATATCTAAAAATATATTGTGAAGTTTAAAGTTATAATTGCCCAGAATATTCCTTTATTAGTTTTGCTGTCTTATCATATTAAAAAATGGAAGAACCACATGTCACAAATACATTCAGTCTTGTGGTGGCATGTGTGAATAAGCCTTGACATGTGCGGCTGCTGGTGGGTTGTTGATCTAACTGGATATGTAGATAGATTCCTGAAAGAGCTCCAGATTTCATGCTTTGGCTGGACCCTGGACAGCTAAAGATAATACAGAACACAAAGCATGTCAGCGCTTTCAGAGATTAGGTGGACAATAGATTTTTGTCCAGTAAAATAGCCCTCCACGGACCTGATATGCTGAGTCAGAGAGACGGCCCCTCGTCAGTGTCTGTTGTGTGGACAGCAGCAGCAGAACTTTTCCACTGTCCCTTTGCTCCACATTACTTTGCCTTACTACTGAAGTCTTCCTGCAAGTTAATTCCTAAAACCTTTCCATCAATTTAGCCATACTTGGCTGCAGATTTTTCTCAACAGAGCGTATAATACCTGGTTGAATATTTGAAAGTACTCACATTACCACCCAAGGAAAAAGCTCTCTCTTTCTCTGCTGATGGTTAAAGAATGCTACAGGAGTTCGTCCCATGGGGAGTACATGACAAAATAAATAAACACCACTGAAAACACTACTAAAGCCTCTACAGTCATATACATATGTAATGACTTAAGCCCCTAATCAACTGGTCAAAAACATCTGGCTTTTGTCTACAATTGAAATGGACACAATCGGAGTTCACTCCGGTGAAATGACTCTGCAGAAGACACAGGTTTTTATCAGTGATCGAAACCCAGATGAATGCAATAATTTCTTTCAGGCACGACGCAATGACGCACATTGATCATTGGCATGTAAATAGCCATGCACGTTTGTGCACAATGTGCAACAGTTATTTTTTCTTCGTATTATGCAAGGTGCATGGCGCTTTTTACATCAAACATCTACTAGCTGCTTTTGGTCTGAATGAGGATAGTATTTATATGCAAGTGTTTGGTTTAGAATGAGTGCAACAACCATTGTTACAAAATACAAAGAACCAAAACAAACCCTCCTGGTGGACATTGTGGAACTAATTGTTTTCAGCTTTTTTGATGATTCAATTAGTTCTCTCTCAGAGTGATTTAGTTTTCAGTCAATTGACATATTTCTTAATTTCAGCACACATGTCGCTAAACACAAACTCAGGCTGTGTGCTTCTTATTTTAGACTTTGAAAAGCTCAAACTGCTTGTTTGTGGGATCAGGTGTCATCCCCAGCATGGTATGCGAGTGCACTTGGTGGCTGTATTTAGTCAGAAGGTGAAGGCATCACCCCAATGTCAGGTTACATTCTAGTGAGAACAAGTCCTGCTGCTGCTGTGCCTGGTTCCCTCAAAAGGAAACTGAATCTGTGGGGTTTGTCTGATTCACTTCTTAAATGCCAAGACTTTTAAAATATTGCAACAAAGTCAAGTTACCTGTGGAAACAGGGAGTTGTTGACATTGAAAATGAACAAATGTAGCTCAAGCACGCAGCATTTGAAAAGGCATTTTTGTTTGTACAGTTGTGAGACATATGCAGACTGTGATTGCAGATCTTATACTGTCTGTTCTTTCTTTGCCAGTCATTTAATATAGTGGTAACATCAAAGCTGACAAACCTGTGGTTTCAAGGCAATGGTGTACAGGTTGATACAACTCAAACCAATAAAAAAGAACTTCTTCTTCTTTCTGCTCTTTTTGTTTCACAAAGATAAGTTAGGAGCTTTACTTAAAGAAGTAAAAAATATCCCCAAATTTCCATTATTACATTTTTTTCTTTCAGGTTGAAGTGTTTCTATTTGGCTGAAGTCTCGGGCTGTAATGCGTCCAGCTCACAACCCATCCAGCCTGTTCAAGAGGTTATTATTGTCTCAGGAGCAACGGTTTTTTTGGCTCCTGAAGTGCTCTCTCTCCTGCATGCATGTCCATCCCTCTTATTTTTGGGTGCATTTTAAATCCCAGGTGTGCACACATCATTTGAGGTTTCCTGTTGCAGCTAAAATAAACCCAGAAAACCCCCAAAAAACATGACTCACACACAGTTTGGTGGTTACCGGGATGCGAAATTGCGTATTGACATATCATGCATTAAAAATTGCAAAGGTAACTCTGGATATGATGAACACGATGGCACTTGTAGCACCCTACGGAGATAAAGTCTATAAAATGCCTCAAATAAAACTATATGTACCTCTGCAAACCTGCAAAGTCATACACCTCCTCCATTAATCATTACAGAGTACAACTAAGGGGAATTTATTTTACTAACTTGTGGGTTATGATTTATTGTTTTCAATTAAATCCCCCTACGATGGATAATCCATATGGTGCCATCTCAGAAATCCTACATTTCCCTCAGCATGCAATGACATTGCAGTCGGAGATATTCGAGTAAGCCCCAGGAATTCTGATGAGCTGCGCCAATAAATTAAAAAAGCTTGGCTATCACACATATCATATATTCAGTTGAACGAAATCATTGTTCCAAAAGGCCAGCTGGTGACAGTTGGCTGACCTGACATTTACGTAAAGTACTTTTTACTTTAAGTAACAAAATCCCTTGTGTCTCTCAGTACCATGTTTCAGTGCATGTCAGTGTCCTGATTCTAAAGGCAAAGAAACAGATTTTACAGATTTTACATTTTGTATTCCATTATTACTTCCCAAGGTTTACTCTGACTTGTCATGCATGTTATTGTACTTGATCTTCAAGATTACTATATTTTCTTTCGTAACAATTTAGGGCCAAACTATTTTGAAGTCACTTTATAATTGAAATCTTACGCAAAATAACATTCCTTGGCTGTACATTTTCTACAGTTTTGCCTTACTTTATTCAAGTGTTTTGTTAAATGCAGTAGTCACTGACATATGTATCGTATTTCTTTATTGAGATACACATTTGAACATCTTTAGGAACAGGGAAATCAGTTTTAGATGAAATTCAACCATAGATGTATTAAGCAGAACTGGATGTTTGTGGTGCCCCATTTATTCCGATGCACATTTCTCGTTGGAGCATGCACCT